AACTTTGGTTGGATCGTAACAGGTACCCATGAGTCCGGGCATCGCGGACTTGTACTCGGCCGTAACCAGCCTCAAAGCAAAACAGCCGGGGCTGCAAGTCTGGGTCGCCATCGGCGGCTGGGCCATGAACGACCCAGGCCCTTACCGGACCGCTTTTTCCGACATGGCTTCCTCCGACGCCAACCAAGATGCCTTCTTCGAATCGCTCGTCAAGTTCCTGCTGCAGTATAGCTTTGACGGCATCGACATCGACTGGGAGTACCCATCCGCTGACGACTGGGGCGGGCGGCCCTCGGACTTTAACAACTACGCGCGAATGCTCCGGCGGCTGCGGACGCGGCTGAACGGCACGGGCCGCAAGTTGGGCATCAGCATGGCCACCCCCGCGAGCTACTGGTACCTGCGCGGGTTTAACCTTAAGGAGCTCGAACCGTCGCTGGACTGGTTCAATATCATGACGTACGACATCCACGGGACCTGGGACAGCGCGGTGCGTGCCATCGGCTCGTTCGCGTACGCGCACACCAACCTGACCGAGATCGACCAGGGCTTGGAGCTGCTGTGGTGCAACAACGTCAACCCGGAGCGTGTCAATCTCGGGCTGGGGTTTTACGGCAGGAGCTTCACCATAGCTGATCCGGCGTGTATGGATCCGGGATGTCCGTTTGTGAATGCCACGGGACCAGGAGCGGGGAGGTGTACGGGGACGCCCGGGGTGCTTTCGGCGGCGGAGATTGTGGAGATTATTAAGAACCAGGGGGGAAAGCAGAGGTTCTATCCGGAGGAGGCGGTGCAAGTCGTTACGTGAAATTCGGACCAGTGGGTTAGTTGGGATGACGCGCAGACGCTCAAGATCAAGCAGGGTTTTGCGAATAGGAGGTGTCTGGGCGGGAAGATGGTCTAGGCGGTGGATTTGGACGATGGCACGCTGATTCATGCGCTGGGATCCAAGTTGAATCGGGACAGGTCGAATGTGTTTCCGTACAAGGAGCCTGAGTGCGACTTGGGGACTGGGTTTGTATGGGATCATGACGAAGAGCTTTAGGTTGTGGGAAGGTTAAGGTACCTACCTTATGGAGTAACGAACCGGACCGTGACCATGGTATTAACTCATGAGCTTCCCAAATAAATCAGAAACGGGTAGCTGAAGCATCGTAATCAATCTTGTCGTCGCTGAACTGTTTTTTTTTTCATTTCCCGAGGTCTTTTCGCTTCGTATTGATGTAGTGTCTTTCGGTCGCCAAAGGGGGTGTAAATCGACAGTCGGTTCCATAGCAGTGCCCGCCAAGTCGGACTTCAATAGAGGGAAAAGTTGGACGGCGTCACGGTGACCCCTGCCCGTCATAGTAAACCGAACAAAAAAAGAGCTTGTTGAAGAATGTACCTAGGTAATTCGCCAGACCTAGGCGCAGACTAGTAGCGGATGAGCACTGAGTTGGACTACGTGCCTCTATTAGGTAACTCGGCATTTAGGCGGTTATAAATGAAAACCCACCAGCTTATATCACTCTGACACTTCTGTCCTAAATGCCAGATGTCCCACCATATGCGAAGTATATCTTCAGGTATCGAAGCAGATCAAAGCGATTAGCAACCAATTTCCAGCTTACTTATTTTCCCGATGTACCAGACCGCGTAGCTCGTGTACTTTGCCCAGACCTCCTCCTGTACTTTCTCCTTGTGATCCCTGGTTCGGATCGACGAAATCAGGTCTTAACCGGGAAAATAGAAACGATTCTTGAGGCCGGGCGGCTCTGGGTTGTGGACGTCGACTTCGATCCTTTTGAGCGTCTCCTATAATGGTTGTGGTTACTGGGGTTTGTATCTACACCAATGACTTCCGGACTGGAACATACCGGCTACCGGACGCGTCGGAGACGTGAGTCTTTCATCGATGAGTGATTCGATATCCCAGCCCTTCCATTACACTGCGCCGTTGACCAGGAGCGCCTTGATTAGTGCTGCTGATGGCGTGGTTATGTTTTTTCTCAGTGCTAAAGCCTCTTGTAAGATAGGGCAAGCGCCAGCAACCTACCTTAGGGAGTTGCTATGCTGGTGTGGTAGCGATGTTTTCCCCTTCGTCTCTTCTCCATCTCCCTCTTCTTCTTGTTGAACTCCATCTCTTCCTTTTTCAACAACCACTCCACCCCCGATGTTGGGTTGGCGGCATTGGTGGCGTCGCGGGGGTGGTAGTATAAGAGAGTGATGATGGCGGTTCTTGTTTCTTTCCCAAGCGGCTGTGCCTAATCGGACTCATGATCGTTCCACGATTGGAGACCTCAACCATGGTCGGTCTGGGGGACGTGGAAGATCTACTACTGGTACAATGAGGTCCTGTTATTGAGGGAGCGGCCGTCGGCTTCTTCCTCGCCTCTTCCCTCTTCCCTCTTCTTATGGATGGGCGGGAAGGTAAAGACTGGAAAGTTCAAACCAGGTTGATAGCCGTCGGTCTGATTCTTCCCGGATATGGGAGGGCGAGGGCCGAGGCCAGACGGTTCGGGGACAGAGGTCAATTGAGAAAGTGTCCATTGTTCGACAGGCCTTTGGGGCCGGAAGATATGAGTTGTCACAGACTTGATGACAATGATGAAGAACCGAACCCCACCAATACATCGTGGCCTAGGTACGTGTTACGATCCATTCAGGGGTCACTTATATAAGCACTTAGATAGACCAATCAGAGCCGCGCCGGGCGCCGGCGCCATACTGAAGGACCAGTATAAAGGAAGGCCTCCCCAGGCTTCCTGAATACTAGGCTCTTTAGCAAGCAATAGCTATCACAATCTACCAGTACCTTTCGGCTACTACTCCGTTACTCTATTGCTCTATCCCGGCGATAATACTCCTGTGCTTGTAACGGTTCGTCACAGTACGACGGCGAGTTTATGTTCTTCTCTGACGTCAGTGTCCCACGTAGGGGCATCTTGGTCAAGATGGGTGACTGGCAACCCAGCGCAAAGGAATAGATACGTAATTGCTGTGAGCGGCACGAATCTGTCTGATATCGTTGTCGGCGTGTCGGGATAAGATCTGAACTTAACGCCAATAAAGGATCCCGAGTCGGGGCCAGCTTTGCTCCCGGGTGGAAGTTAATATTACAATCGTCGAGTTTTGTTCTGTGGATGTTTGGCAGCGGTCTGGGGACTCATTGTTCCCGTTGTTTCTGCATAAGCCGAAGCACAATGAGACAGAGGGACCCAAGCCGAGAGCCGGGCGGACCACTGTTGACCATCTGTGAGTGCAACCGTTTGTCATCTCCAGATAGTTCTCGCGAGCTCTCGAATCTCATCCGCCATAGATGGGAATGAACCGGCGAAAACCTTTCTCATCACCGGGTGCAGCCGTACTGGGAAAAGCGCCATATGGAGGTATTGTTTCTTCCTGAAAACGTCCGCAAGGACAAGAACGTGGTGAGCAACTCGTGGAAGTAAGTGCTTCCTCAAAGCACACCGCAGGTCATCGCCCATTGGGTGATTCGATTATAAGTGTTGGTCCGCGTTTACGCTATGGGCAACACATGATTTATACTGGCAATAGGCCTCGGTTTGCCTTCGGATTAATGGTTTTGGTGGACAGTTAGGGCATTGCTCTTAATTTTGTATGCTAGACTCACCGGTGCGGCACGTCTCATGCCCTACGGGAGGCGGAAGTAGACGTTAAAAATAACAACAACAACAACAACAACAACACCGCAGGTCATCGGAAACCGGACTCGGGGCATGGCAGTTCGGCACCGGCGCAAAGGGGAATATGTCACCTGTGAACCGGTTAGCTCGTCCGTCCACGAGATACCGCGGACTTCCATCAGGCCGTGTTGGGAAGCCATGCTGAGGAGGTCTAGAAGAAATGTACCGATATTGGCTTACCAGCCGAAATCTGCAACGTGTTCCTTAAGGTATGCAGAGTTGAGAGTTCGCTAGTGGCCATCTCTACCTCTAGAGTATCTAGTATACAGTCTTCTGGTCTATCCCTACGGCGACTCTCACGAAAGCGAGACACTCAACTTTCTTTTGTGCGAAAACGGTGACCAAACATTCCTCATCTTTGCCGGGCCCGAGGGAAGTTTGTTGCTTCTGCTGTCACTTCTACAGTCACGGCTACTGTGGTCATGCTTCTTGTGTAATGTCATTAGATCCAAAAAGACCGAGCTGATGTCCATGTTATGTCTCCTCGTTTGCTTGCGGGCAGAGGGCCGTGAAGCTCCCACCGATAGCACCAAGTCAAAACACTCAGCTGCACGACTCTCCGACTGTTTGCGGGATTGTGTAGCAGGAGTCGTAATGATCGCCCCTGATCCCTAGGTACCTATCTATCTCTAGTCTATCTCGTTATCCGATTGATGGAAATCAGACAACCTGAATACAGACATTGTTTCAAAGCCAGGTATTTCGAGTCCAGATGCGCTGAAGGCTCGTCAAAACTCAAGATGGCCGTGATGAATAATGTTACCTAGCTTGACTGGACTTGTAAATCAACGCCCTGTACATATCTGGAAGAAGTCTCTCCGTTGAACAGAACCTCCCACTCCGTCACAGATGTCAGTGTCAAGCACCAAACTGGTGGCAACAACATCAGAATGTGTGTGAAATCTCCCAGCCCTTCACTTCCAAAAGGCTCTTCTTGCCAATGAGCCCTCATGATGTTTTCTCCAAACGAGCGAGTCTCGATTCTTCCTGTTCGAGAATGCCTGTCGGAATTATTCCTCGCAAACCCATATAACTTACCTGCAAAAGACTATAGGCCTCATTGTAAGAGTCGTTCCAGCCTTCTAGATACAAAATACATTTCCAATGTTCCCTCCAGCCTCAGCCCGGCGGGAGAATCCTGGCGGGAGACAGGAAAACGCATACACGGCTGGCTCCATACCAAGTGCCAGTGTTGATTAATAAAGACACCCACCATTGAGCATTGGCTCCATAGTCTATAAGTGTAGACCCTCAACCGCAACTCTCCTCCTCTCCTGCCCTCTCGTCATTATCGACCGCGTTGACCATGCTGCCGTTCCTCGGATCGATGAGCCACAGCCTATCTTTGGCTCAGGGGAACCGCTTCTCTGCATGGATGTCTTCCCAATCCGCCAGCCCGCGGGGGCCCAGACAGACGACGTGCACTTCTTCGACCCTGGTGAATCCCTCGATGAAATCGGCTTCGCACCTGCTGAAGAATTCATGACCACTACTTGTGCTTGTGCTGTCGCCACCAATCAGCGCATACCTATCCCTTGCAAACTTCAACCGCCGAATATCCAGGTAATGGGCTTCGCAGATCTCCATGTACGTCTCCCCGAGGGAGATCATGTCCACGTCAAAATCGACCCAGGTGTAGCGGCGCAGCGGCTGTGGCTCCGCCTCAAAGCCCAGCCTGAGATAGTTGCCGGGTAACTGACTGAAGGCTTGCTGGTAGTATTGGTACCTGTAGTGCCCATCCTGAGGAGGAGTTGCAGTCGAGGAGGTGAGATAGTCGCGAGCCTCGCGACAGGTGTGTAAAGGTGCAGGCACGGGGTTGGGGGGGTGCAAACGAACGATTTGGGGCGCGATAGAGCTATGATGGTGGTGATGGTGATGGTCTGTAGAGGTATCTTCAGCGCTAGCGCTACTAACGTTTTGAGTTTGTGGCTGCCGGACCAAGGAGGCGCGGATCTCAACCGTGCGAGGCTCGACTGTCAGACCCCAGATCTGGAGTCGAAGCTCACACGGGAGGCGGGGGAAAGGGTGGAGGTGATAGTCGCCATGATTGATGAGTATGATGATGGTTAGGAATGCTGTTGAGTTTCGAAATCCTGGGGATTGCAGGTGATCACGCTTTGTGGTTTGTTGACGGTGTGTGAATCGTTGGTACCTACTTGGGCAAGGAAAGCTGGAACAAATGGCGATGTGAAATGTTGGGGATCTGAGGCTTGGTTGTTTTCTTTGGCGCCATCAATAAACCCAAGTCTCTCGGCCAGCAGGTTTAGGGCAATCGACAAGGACACCCCGAGAGTTGCAAGCCTACTACTAGGTACACTGTCGCGCCTGTCACACCTGTCTGTCGCTTGCTGTTGGGACAGTGGACTGGTATATGCCGTGTATGATGTGGCCTAGCACTCAACCCGAAAAAAGAAATCAAGAAGAGGTTGGTGGGGTTCGAGATTAGGACGGTAACGGTTTGCGGCTTTTGTGAACAGACGGGAGGTGATACCAAGGCGTCGATTATTCAGGCGGAGAAGGGGAAGAGGGTATTCGAATCGATCGATCGATCCCTGGTCGGTACAAGGTGATGAATGATGAGTGACGATGATCAAGTAAAATTATAAAGTCAGCAATGGGAAGGTCGAAATCCAGAACTGAAGTCATGGTTGACATCATCATATCGAATTGCACTTCTGAGTGTTGAGTGAAAAATGATCCGACTTACCGTCCTCTGAGACCGACGACGGACGATGGAGTCTGCTTCTCTGACATTCAATGCGCCGAAAGATGGAAGCGACAATCGTGATTGCGTTGGGTTGGGTTAATGCTGAAGAAAGAGGCACGGGGAGCCAGGCTTCCTTCCCGGCGGGATGAAGAAGGTGGATTAATGTGGCCAGTGCAGCCGAAGTCCATATGGATGTAGGCGGAGATCAATCAAATGACGGATGGATAGAATGCACCGATATAATGCGGGTACGGTACTCATAGGGGTCACTATCCTTCTCATCTTCCTCAAGGCACTCCCGCTGTGACGGTGACGGGACCGGACTTACCTGAATGTCAGATGAAATGGCAAGTGCCACACCGAGCCACCTTCTCAGTCCCGTCTCGCACCAGTCCAGTGACCCCACTTCACTTCGCCTCCTGAAAAGGAGTTATGAGTTTTAACTTTATTTGTTCTTCATTCAATTCCGTGCCTATCTAGTCTGTTCACGAGAATACCCTACTGAAAATTCAAACGACTCCAAGCCATCCATACCACCAACCCTTTCCATAGCCGTAGCGAATCCGAGATCGAGCCTTCTCTTTCTCGTTTTTGTTCAAATCATCTTAACCATCCCATCCATAATCCATCATTACCAACCCATATCATCCATTCATCCATCCATCCGTTCCCTTGTCCGTACTGTTGTCCCGGATCCTTGAACTGTCCTTGCCCTCCCCCTCAAATTTCTGACTCCATCTTGTCTTGAATGGACAAGCCTGTCTACGTCTAAGCCTCAACCGCATCATCGACCGCACCGAAGCAGGTTTCCACTGTAAATGACATGTCAGCGCCCGTCAAGGCAAGAAGCAATAGGATGAGAGGAAAGAAACAACATACTGATAATGCCAGTAATGGAATAAGGATCCGCGTTAGAAGCAGGACGACGATCCTCAAAGTAACCGTAGCCCTTGGCGGCGCACTCGCGGGGGATACGAATGGACGCACCACGGTTGGCCACGCCGTAGGTGAAGGTGTCGATGGCGCCGGTCTCGTGACGACCCGTGAGACGCTTCTCGTTGCCTTCGCCGTAGACTGTTTTTTTCTCCCGTTAGCTTTCGCTCTTCATCCCATTTCTCGTTTGGGGAAGGAAAACCCACCAGCAATATGCTCCTTATGCCTTCCCTCCAACTTCTTGATCGCCGCCTCGATATACTTCATGCCGCCCTCCTTCCTCATCTCGGCCGTAGAAAAATTGCTGTGTAGACCGGCACCGTTCCAGTCGCCAGGGATGGGTTTAGGATCGACCGATACCTTGGCGGCGAACTCCTCAGCTACACGGTGCAGCAAGAAACGGGCGAGCCATAGCTGGTCACCCATCTCGATACCGACGCAAGGACCGACTTGGAACTCCCACTGGGCGGGCATGACTTCGGCGTTGGTTCCCGAGATCTTGACACCGGCGTAGAGACAGGCGCGGTAGTGCGCTTCGACGATATCGCGCTGGACAACCTTGCCGGCACCAACACCGCAGTAGTAGGGACCTTGAGGGGCGGGGTAGCCTGGATGTTGTTAGTGGATGTACATGGGGTGAATGGGCTGATGGAAAGGCATACCGTTCTGAGGCCAGCCGTAGGGGCGATCGTTCAAATCGAGGAGGGTGTATTCTTGCTCAAGACCGAACCAAGGCTCGTGCTTGGCGTGAAGCTCCATGAGCTTGGCGCATTCGTGACGGTGGTTGTACTTGTTAGGGGTGCCATCAGCATCCCAGCATTCGGCGAGGACGAGGATGTCTGCGTGCGGTTAGCCACTACGTGCAGTAAAGACGTAAGATGAGTGCTGCTGGCGGCTTACTGTTGGGAGGACGGAAAGGATCCGGGTACACGGCGACGGGCTTCCTGCACGGGTGATGGTGGTCAGTATCGGCATCTCAAGTCCTGTCCAAAGCACAGGCGGATGGATGACTTACAGGTAAACGTCTGAGTCCTCACCAGGGGCTTGGCCTGTTGAGCTACCGTCAAAGTTCCAGATGGGGAGCTCCTCGGGCTTGTACTGGCCCTCAGGCTTCTCCTCGAGGGTCTGTTCATTGTGAGAAGTCAGTTTTCGATCCTTCATTCGGTGAATCCCTTCCAATTGCTGGCGAGAGGGGTGATGACCGTGGTGGTCTGATCCCGAACAGGGTTGCGATAAGATAAGAACGTACGCGAGACTTGGAGCGGGTGTTGCCTGTAAGTTTGACACCTTGTCAGTTTGACATTCTTCCCTTTTGACATTCGGTGGAATTGTACATACCCTCGGCGTCGATCCAGATGTACTCGGCCATGACTGTTTGTGGCAATGTCAGTTTTGCTCATTTCGGTGTGTACCCCTAGGTAAACGCACTCTTGCCGCGCTGGTCGAGATCACGGAACTTGGCCAAGCCGGCGGCATTGGAGGCGAAGGACTCCTTGGTAGTAGCCTGTGATGATTGATCCATGTTAGTAACTTGTCCTGTTTCTTTTTTGTTGGTGTATGAGTTGAAGATTGGCAATCTAGAAGTCGCTTTGACAGGACTGGTTTTGATGGAACAGCGGTGACGAACCATTATGATGATGTGTGGTTGTTGTGTCGTAGGTATTAGGTCTGTAATGGTAATGGATGGGTATCCTCGTATTGAGTGGTAATGTCGTCGCAAAAGTCCAAACACCTCGCTAGCAGATCAGCTCGCAGTAGTTCGCACGCAAGTCGCAAGTCGCAAGTCGCAGTCGCAATAACAAACAAACAATCACGTTCCGATGAAGTTGAACGTGTTTAAGAACTGGGTAAGAAGAACAAAGGATAATGGAAAGAAGAGGTGAGAGCGAGAAGAGAAAAAGACGCGCGCACGTTGGCGACGGGAACGGTCAAAGATAAGGAATTCGGCCTCACAGTTACAGCGCAGCCAGCAGTGCTATGCCGGGGCCGATGCGGTCTGGAAAGCGAGATACCGTACGTACTGCCAGCGGTTACTGTAGGTTGTCCGTGACTTTCACGTTCTCATCCGATCCCGTCCGAACATGCCACTGCGTCTGTCTTGGTCTGGACTGGACTTTCTGTTAGGCGCGGTGTGTAAAGGTGGGCGCGCGGGGTCCATTTGGAGTAGACATGGGACGGGATTGATGCGAACTGCTAAAAGGTACCTCTATCAATAGCATCGAGTCCATATCCAGTCGGGTCACTTGTTTTCAACTGAGACCCTTGGATGTGAAATGATACCCTGATGGACACCCCCATGACGTCCCCATTCCACGCCCGCATTGCCCACACCTTGGCCGTCGGTTAACCCCCGTTTACCCCCGAGGCAATTCTTTGATGGAAGCCATCGTTTGATGGAGGGTGGCTTGGGTTCTTGTCGAAGTGGGATGAATGGATGAATTTGGAACAAAAAGAAGGGCCGGTAATCGGTCCAATGCCTTTTCCGTTTCTGCGGTTTGCGGTTTGTGTTTCTGTCTCGTGATTGCAATGCCATCATCCGTGTCCGAGAATATCAGAAACAGAGACACACGACATGAACTCGCTCTTTCTATCTTTGGATCAGTTCTTGCCGTGAGGAGAGGAAGGAACAGAAGGAACAGTCGTCGACGGAGGAAAGAGGGTTCCACCGATCATCGGCCCATTCTCTCCTTGTGCCGCGGTGTGATGCCCCTCCAAGACCCTCCAACCATTCACACCCATCCAAAAGGTCAGAAATGGTCAGAAAGGGTCACAAAACGTCCCCAGTTTTGGTGTTTCCATCGTCAGTGGAGTGTTTGCAGTGAGACGGGGACGGAAGGTGCAGTGATACGCTACTGCGCTGTTGACCTCTGATCTCCCGCCGTGGAGACTCACAAATAACTAAAACCGGGGATACACATGCTTATTTTCACCTCTGGTGTTTCCATCCTTGATCATCTCACCTCTATCTGTCATTCATTTCTTCCATCCAATTCATCTTCTTAGAATGGAGTTTAGTTTTCGCCTTGTCCGTCCTTCATTGTCCTCTTCTCTCTTTTCACGAACAAAGAAAACCCAATCCCCGCTATCGGCCGTCGCCACCAGCGCTTTCCGTCGTGGCATCCGTTGACCACACCCTTCCCCTTTCTCCAATTCCTTGGCACCGCATCAGCCGTCTTCAGCCTATCGACTCTTATCTAAGAACCCCATTGGCCACTGGATGACTTTCTTATCCAATCTCATGACGGAATCAGAGTCGATGCCAGTGGCTGCTGGTGGCGCTGCCCTTCGATGCCTGCCCCTGCTATCAAGGGGATCGGTAGAATGTGGGGGCCGGTGCAGTGCAGACTGCAGACACGTGGGGCTCCGCCTTTGCTTATCGTTGGAACCTGATTGGATGAACGGGTGATCATTTTGGTGTTCGTCGTCGTTTCTTCGCATGTTGAAGCTTGAGAAAGTTCACTTGTTCCAGTTGGAAGCTGTCCCGAATCACCGGGCCAGTCCCTTCTCAAGCCAACCACGCATGGCAAAGTGACGAACAATCTTCGCAGTTTGTCTTTGCATACGGGAAGCTTTTTTCCTTCTGCTGCAGAATGATGAACAACATGCGGGGTGTTTTTCACACTCTTGACTCTCCCGTTTTCCCGTTTGTTCCCGTTTGTTCCCGTGTCATTTTCAGGGGATGACGACTGGACTGAGGATCAAGAATGGGGGTACACACCACACTTCTATGGTTACCAGGCACCTGAGACAAACAGACACCCTATCTTGAACCAAAAATCTCGGGCTCAGCAGAGTTGGGAACACGATGATTCGCTCGCTTGAAACAGAGTTAGAGTTCTGAGAGGGGTGCGAGGGGTGGACAAACATCAGATGTTACTATCGCCACCTCCACTCTTTGTTGTTGATGTTGCAACTGTCTCGAGGTTGCTGGTTTCAGTTCCGTTCGGCCGTGACGAGCGTCACAGCTCGTATGAGGGAAGTGAGGTCTCCTTGCCGCGGATGGGCCCCGCCGGAGACAGACGAGCTGGGCGAGCGGATCAGTACGCGAGTTCGCCAGGAGCACCACTCGGAACGAGGCGAACGGCAAGGCTGATGTTGATCCGGGGATCACCAGGAGAGAGCTGCGATGTGAGCTCCTCGGTCAGTCCAAACAGTGTCACAGTGGGGAACTCTTATCTCTTATCTCGAGCTGAAGCTCTCAGGTGCTCTGTTCACGACACCAAGTGTTGGGCTCATGACGATGTGAAAAGCAAACATGATTACAGCCGCAATGCCCTTTGATTGAGTCATGATGGCATTGACCAACAGACCAACTAGCCGCGCGAGTCACTACAGCTAAGGGTAACGTAGGACTTGCAACTTGAGTGCGGCGCTTGAAGCACGATGCTTCCATCACGAATGCCGACTCAAGCCGCGATGAGGACCTTGATGGTGAGGCTGATCGAGGTGGAGCATTCAAGGGCAGACGAGGAACTCTTATCGTGACCGAAGCTCTTATCGCAAGCCATGTCTCTCAGGCGTCTCAGCTCGTCTGTCCGAAACACCAAGACCTGGCCTCATGAGGGCGCCTGATTGTTGAAGATTATCGCTCAACATGGTTGACAAAAAGTCAAATATACCCGATGACACCTCTGAGTGGTCATTGACTTCCCTTCTGATGGATGGCGGCCACCTGGTTGTCTTCACCGAGTCTTGACGACGTCCTCACCTCTAGGCATCATCACGATCACATAGGAAATTTGAGGATATCACCGCATTCTCCAGTATCTGCCATAACATCAAACCACATTCACTAACTCAACCACAAGCAGGCTCATCATCCCCACCACCCATCGCATCCGTCTTCACATCCTGAGTCCTCCCTCCACCATAAATGCCCCCATCCAAAATGACAGCCTCATTATCATCCCTATCATCCTGCACCCTCCTCCACCTTGTACTCTTATCCCTCCTCCCTTCCAGTTGTTCCACCCCCTTTTCTTTCGAATCAGCCGGTTCATAAACAGGTTTAATCATGCCTCCCAACAACGGATTCTTGCTAAACGCACCACCACCGCTCGTCCTCTGCGTTGGCGCAACGTGGTGAACACTCGGCTGATTGTTTTCCTCAGGATCGGACTCGGGGGTAGCAGGTCTCTGCACCGTCGTCACCTTCCTGAGAACCTTCTTCCCGACAAGATCAATGCTAACAACCTGCTGCCTCTTTTCGTACTCCGGTCGGGCATTCCACTCCATTTCTCTCATCAGCTTCTGCTGCTTCTTGAGTGCTAACGCCCGTTCCTCGGGAGAAGCCCACATGCTACCTCCCATGGCGCTGACATCGAAATCCGCCGCTTCGTCCCGCACTGTTGTTCTTTGCGCGTTTTCCGCTTGGAAATTCAACAGCTTATCTCGCTGCTCGATGGCTTTTTGTTTCGCTGATTGCGCTTGCTGCTGAGCCTGTATCTTGGCAGCAGCCTCCTGCAACGTAGGCGCATCCTCGTATTCATCACCGTATCCCCTCGGTCGGGCAAATGGTTTGGGCACAGCTCCGACGTCAGCCTTCCGGTTGGCTGCGCGGTCGGCGGCCATCTTTTCGCGGCCACGCTCGGTTTTGAGTTCTTTGATCATTTGCTGGATTTCGGCGGGGGAGAGTAAGGGGTGGTTGCAGAAAGTGCAGGGCCCTAGACCTTCTTTTACGCAGATTACTTTGCCGCAGTTTAGACAGTTTGGAGCGGCGGCCAAGAGGGGATGGCGCGCTGCGACGCAGTTGCAGCGGCGAGAGGCGATGCCGGAGGCTGTGTTGGAGGTGTGGGTTGGGTTGGTGGTTATTTCGAGTTGGCGGATCGCGTCGTCGAGGTCCGAGAGCGCGGTGGAGGCGCCGTGCATGGGGGTACCGCCTGCTATGGAAATCTTCGTGGCAGCGTTTTTGCCATTGCTCGGGCCGGGTGTCGAGGTTCGAGAAACGGGGTTGGATTTGGGCTTTGGCTTGCCTAGGTCAGAGACCAGTGTGCCGTGGGCAGATGGTGGTGCTTTTTGTGTAGGCTGAGCAGGTTGCGCGGTAGGTTTTGACGGTGGTGGCGGCTTGCTGGGCCCTCCTGCTTGTTCGTTCGATGGTGTTGCCGGCTTTGACTTGGAGGCCGAGATGTATTCGAGATCGGCATCCTTCTTGTTGTAGGCCTTCGTCCCTGGCGCAAGGGCAAAGTTCGTGACTTGTCGAGAAGGTTGGGCTTGTAGTGGTGCCTTCTTTTTCTGGGGTTTGCGTTGAGTCTTCGGGACTCGGTCGATGTCTGAATTCGGAGCCGAGTTCTGTGCTGAGCTTGGTGCTGATGGTGTTCGGGCAGCAGAGGACAGGGCGGGCGCTTTTGGAGGCGCTTTGGGATCGGCACGACGAGAGTTAAAGGTCGAGATGAAATCGATGACAGCGGGAGAGTCACCGAGGAGGTTTGTGAAATGGTCAATAGCTTCTGTCTTGGAAAGCGTCGAGGCGTAGTCTAAGACCTGCTTGAGGTCTTCGTCCGGCAGAGGGAGAAGCCGGGAAAGCTGTTGTTGCGACATCGGTTCTGGCGTGTGTGTTTGTGTTTGGTCGGCGGCGAAACGGACGATTTGGAGGAGGTATCGTAGGTGATCGATTGTGCAAAGTGTCAACAGCTTGCCGTTCACAATGTCGCCGTATTTTGTCGTTGTACGATATCGAAGGTAAACATTGGAATTAGTGAATCTTCGCCGACGGCGAGGCCAAGTTGGGAAAGCGGCGATAACGTAATCGTCGGCATGGTGGGGCTTACGACATCTCCAATTGTAAGCGCCACAGGTACATCTTCTGTGGCTGACATTTGGAGAAAGTTAGGCTTGACACAGTTCCGCTTTCAGGGCAGACACGGTCCCACTCGGCCCCGTTGCTCCCCCGCAATGATCTCCGTTTGTCGGTGCTCGATCCCGGACCTTTCTTTCCCCGCATCATCATCTTTTTCCAATTCCAACACCTTTTCTGTCTTTGCGACTGAACAACAAATCGCAAAGAATGACGCGCTACAACCGAAAATCACTCTTCTCTGCGCGCATTAGGAGATCAGCATAAAGACGGCATTCCTGGTTCCGGGACGGCAGCATATCATCCCATTTGCTTTATCCTCCGATTTACCCACCAGAGAACCAGACATGGAGATCATCACCAAAACACGGGGAGCTATCCTCTAGGAATCCCCCGGTGCAATAAGTTCGATGCGACAAGAAGGGCCAGTCCACGTCAAGGAATCCGTCTCGGGTAGAATTCAGAGCAGCAGGACACTATGGCAGCACTTCGCCACCGGCTCTCCATTGCCGGCTGCCGGTGTTCGACGGGATGGTACCGCGCGGAGGGAAACTTGATCGTCTCAGAAGGGCATGATGGGGGCTACGATGGCATATTGTTGGACAGCAAGCTTACGATATAAGTTGACCTCGCCTTTGGCTTCTTCAGCATGTCCCCATTCCTAGGCCAAGACAAGCTCTGTTCTGCGTATCAATCTCGCAGACCATGTCACCAAAGACTCTCTTGTCGGTCTTGTTGGCCACCGCCGTCACAGCCCAACGGGCGGGCAAACTCACCCCGGAAGTCCACCCCAAGCTGCCAACATGGGAGTGCACTGTCGCGGGTGGCTGTATCCAGAAAGACACCTCCCTGGTCCTCGACTCCGACTATAGATGGGTACACACAGATGACTACATCAACTGCAAGATCAACGGTCTTAACCCAGCCGTATGTCCCGACGCCGCGACATGTGCTTCCAACTGTAACCTAGAGGGCGTCGACTATGCTGGGTCCGGTATCCATGCCAACGGCAGCGAACTTACTCTCAACCTCTTCGTCAACCGGACCGACGGGACTACCAGTCTCGTCTCCCCGCGAGTCTACCTCCTTGCTAACGAGACCACCTACGACATGTTCTCGCTGCTGGACAAGGAGTTTACCTTTGACGTGGATGTCAGCAAGCTCCCCTGTGGTACCAATGGCGCTCTTTATTTCAGCGAGATGCTCGCAAATGGAGGTAAGAGCTCGTTGAACCCTGCTGGCGCCAGCTACGGCACGGGCTACTGTGATGCCCAGTGCCCTACTCCAGCATTCATCAACGGCGAGGTATGCATCTTTCTTCCTTTCCGGTGATGTCCTCACCATTTCCCAGATGACACGTGCTAACCGCCTCCAGGCCAACCTCGAAAACTACGGCTCCTGCTGCAACGAAATGGACATCTGGGAAGCCAACTCCCGCGCCACCGCATTTACTCCTCACCCCTGCAACGTCACCGCGCTCTACAAGTGCTCCGGCGCTCTCTGCGGTCGTACCGACAAGTACCAATCCGTCTGCGACAAAGACGGCTGCGACTACAACCCTTACCGCCTCGGTCACCACCCCTATTACGGTCGCGGCGAGGGCAACAAGGTCGATACGACCCGCCCTTTCACCGTCGTCACCCAGTTCTTCAGCAACACCACCAGCACTGGGGAGAAGGAATTATCTGCTATCAAGCGCCTTTACCTACAAGATGACAAACTGATCACCACTTCCACCATTGCCGTCCCTGGCTACGATTCGGCAAGCGATACCATCACCGACGAGTTTTGCGCCAAGAACAAGCAGGTCTTTGGGGGCGTCAACGCTTTTGCCAACCAGGGCGGGCTGCGACAAATGGGTGAAGCACTGGATCGGGGCATGGTTTTGGTGTTTAGTGTGTGGCATGATGCCGGGAGTGCGATGAAGTTATTGGATGGCACGTTCCCCGTCGGTGCTGATCCGGAGACGCAACTCGGAACAGGGAGGGGGCCGTGTTTGCCGGAGGAGGGTCATGCGGATGATATCCAGAAGGATGCGAGCTGGACGGAGGTGAAGTTTAGTAATGTGAAGAGTGGGGAGATTGGGTCGACGTTCAAGGCTTCAGCCTAGGGGACTCAAAATTGAAGGCAGCGAGTTTGCCTGGGGCATCTTTGCTTGTTCGAAACCTGTCTATGGTCCTTATCAGAGGACCATGAATGTCTCTAGATGTTCATTCCCCTTCCTCCAAGTGAAGAGCAAGCCACTGTATCAGTTTAGGACTTGACTGCTGCTCGATAAGCCCAATGTTTCAGTGGCGCCAGAATCAAGCCCAAAGGGAACAGGATCATTGATGTCGCAATGTAGGGCTGAACGAATTAATCTGACTTGAACCCGAGATTATTTCGATCTTGAAGCTCAGAAACTTACAAAGACGAACCTCGGTTCATCCGTCCCCGATCGTTGGAGACTCGAGATCGGAGAGAATGCCGAGACCCCACGGTCCCCACGAGTCTCCACGGCGCACCCGCATCCGCCAAATTTTGCCGGTTCGGGGTTAACAAACCCCATAAAACCCGGGGAGAATGACGCCAGATAGCGCCAGACTAACCCCGCATCGCACTACCTGTCGCCGATGTCGCCGGAGCGTCTTTCGTCTTGAAGATTGGGGATTGGTAATCTTTTTCCATCCTCTTTTCTCGAGGTCTCAACTTTTCTATTTTCATCCATCAACAACTTCCCGTCTGAAGACGAAGACATAGAAATATCCATTCCGTCTCAGATTCAACATCATCCGTCACCCGGTCAAGAACAACACGGACATCAACATCAACATCAACATCAACACCGACATCAACACCGACAACCGCAGCACCCACGTCAACATGACACTCATCAAACTCCCCTCCCTTGCTGAAGAAATCAACAACAACCCAACCCTCAAAAACCACAAACTCATCATTCTCACCCCCTGGGCTCCCCCACCCGGCTTCCTCGCCTCTCTCCAGCAGCATTTCCCCGACTTGGTGATCGAATACCACCAATCCGAATGGACCCAGCCGCAACCCGGATCACCCGAGAACCCTCCTCCTCCTCCTTTTCCCGTGGAGGAGTGGAAAGATGTCACCATCCTCTTGACTTTTACTTATCTGCCGCAACCGAAAGATGCGCCCAAACTGCAGTATGTGCAGCTTATTAGTGCTGGGGCGAATCATATTTTGGATCATCCGCTTTTTAGGGATGGTAGGGGGGATGGGAAGGAGGAGGTGCAGTTTTGTACGGCTAATGGGGTTCATGGGTTTGTTTACTTTTCTCCTTTTCTTTTCTTTTTCCGTTCCGATCTTACATCTTAAAGTCACCCTTCCCGCTCATTCCTTCAAAATCCCCCTTTCACCCCACCTACCCGGTTCCGCCTCGTCTCTGCCCATTTGGCATTACCTGACTGACTGACTAACAAGCAACAACAGCCCCCAAATCTCCGAATGGCTCATCCTCACTTACCTCTCCTTCAACCACCGGCTCCCGCACTACCTCTCCCTGCAGAAACAAGCCCACTGGTCCCGCGGACACTTCGACTCCATCGAGGACGCCACCGCCAAAACTGTCGGCATATTGGGCTACGGCGCAATCGGCCGCCAAACTGCTCGTCTGGCAGTAGCAATGGGCATGCGCGTGCACGCATACACCCTACACCCTCGCCCGACCCCCGAATCCCGCAAAGATCGAGGCTGGGCACCACAGGGGATGGGTGATCCCGACGGCATCTTCCCCAGTAAATGGTTCAGCGGCGCCGCAAAGGAGGATTTACACACCTTCCTTGCGTCAGGACTAGATCTGCTGGTTGTTTCCACCCCCCTGACGCCGGGAACGAAACATCTCTTGGGGAAAGAAGAGTTCGAGATCCTGTACAAGGCATCTCCCCCCACGATATTCGTCGACGAGACGGGTAAGACCGAAACCCGCGGCAGGACATTCGTGTCCAATATTGCGAGAGGGCCGGTGATTAACACCGATCATTTGATTGATGCCTTGGAAACGGGGAAGATTAGAGGCGCGGCGCTGGATGTTACCGACCCCGAGCCACTGCCAGATGGTCATAAGCTTTGGAGCACAAGGAACGTTATACTGACGCCGCATGTTAGTGGAGCGAGTACGAGGTATAATGAGCGCGTGCTTGCGATATTGGAGGAGAATCTGGGGAGGTTGGGGAGGGGGGCGGGGTTGGTTAATAAGGTTAGTAGGCGGGAGGGGTATTGATGGGTCGGCTGAGGAAGAGGGAGAGATGGAGATGGCGCTTGGAGGATGAGGATGAGGATGAGGATGGGGAAAAGCCTGAGCGCAAGACAGGAGGAAGAGCCGCGGCGGGTAGATGGATCTTTCTTTGCGAGCGAACTTTGGACACGATAGCATACGTAACGATTGTGGAAGCGATGTTGTTATAGTAGACTTTTCCCGACAGGATTGAATACAACCATGGACAAATGTTGATCATGAGTGGCCGGTAGCTCTCTAACCGGTGCATCGATGTCTTTATGTGATCCAAGATGTCGGAATTCAGAAGCGAGGACAAGGTGACTTTGGGTTCCACTTGGCAAGTTGAGGACAAGTGGAAAGATGACCGGAGCATGCGACTAAGGTAGTCTCGGAAGTTGCGATCCACTCACTACCCGCATAAGGCCGTTGGGCGGAGGTTTCACATCGGCAAAGAGGAGAGAGAGGTCGGCTGTGCTCCTTTTCCTTTTATTCAATCTTTCTTTCTTTTGCCAGGAGCAACTGAGCGGTCAACAACTATGCCAGAACAGTAGATAATATGAACTGTCCGCATGGAATGACAACTTCCACCCACAATCCCGTCTTCAACTGCAGTGAACGGAGGAGCTCACTGTGCGCTGGTTCATCCCAGATGATGAGGTGGTCCACAACTCAAACAACTACACTGAAGTAACCAGAAAACTCTCCATCCAAGGAACTCGCCTTTCATCGAGCCGTTGTTTTGACCAACGGAAACACCCAAGAACAGCCTGCTACCAGCGGCACCCCCGGCCCAGAGCGGGAGTGCATCATTCTGTGCTGCTGAGAGTAGGTAGCTTCAGCTGGGATATCTCGGGCTCGGCCACTCTGTCTCTGCGGAGATCACTGGTCGCTCTCACGGGCAGGAACGGATGGGGTTAGATTCAGCTGTGCTGGTCTTGGAGGAATCAGCCGAACAGGTACCTACAGGTAGGTAGCAAATAATTGGGGGGACGATTAGTAAGCCCATTGTAACTCATGATTATTGTCATTCTTTCACAACGTGGCGGTGGTGGTACCCTACTTCTGCTACTCTATTTCCATCTCCATGACGCAGCAATCCTACATGTTGGACCTTGACTACCGTAACGGGTCATTGCTGAACTTCAGTTTGTGATTCTAGAGGTTACCACCAGGTTATCATCCATCACCATCATCACTCAGTGTCCGACATGCGAGGTTAGATAAGGTAGGTACCATCCATCCTGACTGTCAAACCCCGTCTGTCCCCCTCTGTTTTCTTAGCGGACGGACGCCTAACTCAAACCGCTGTGCTTTGACAAAAACCCACGTGTCGTACCCAACCTTCGTAAGGTATCCAACCTTGTCTTCTTGTCCCTTTTCGCTGTCCGATCCACGACCATGGTGGCCCCATCCTCCATATACCACGGCCGTCCGCATGACAATGTCTGGCCGTCTTTTCAACATCCCTCTTCCCCTTTTAGGTATCAAGGCGTCGCCGTCGGAAGAGCAGCCCCCTCGCACACTTCAGACCAAGTGGTACTGGGAGTCGCAGCAAAAACAGTAGCACTGATATGCTGATTTGGACATCCAACTGCCCAGCCCTTCGTCACGGACACATACATGCACCCGTTGCAGTTGACGGGCTTAAATAGGGTGGTGGTTGACGGCCAGGAGGTCAGGGTGCCGTCCCAGTCTGTCGGGGGACAGACACGCTGGCTGGCCGTACTGGTCAAGGTGGTAGTGCATGGCTGGAGGGAGACGACGGGGAACGCGTTGCCCGGGAGGGTGCCGCTGGGTTCTAAGGAGGGGGCTTGGGTCTCAATCGGGAGGTCCCCGAAGTCGATGGATTCGGAGTAGGACACAGTTATGGGACTCCATTCGGGAATGTCGGGTGGGTTAGGTCGATTTGGCGGGGGTTGTTGATGACTGAGGACAGGGCGGGAGAGAACATGGTGGAGAGGAGGAGGAAGTGACGGAGGATCGTCATGGTGTTGAGATTGGGAAGGGTGGTTAACATCTTGACGTTGAGTTTTGTGGTGGTGTTGTTTTTTCCTCCGTTGTGTTTTTGGCTGCCAGGTGGATTGCTGACTGATGAGAGTACAGGATCGAATCTTCTGAAGGGCGCCGGATTGTTCAAGTACTCATCCACCACCCAACGTCTAATCCCAACTCAGCGAGGTCTGCAGTTTGCATCCAACACAGTGACAAAAGGCGTCACCGGCACGAGCCTCAACGTCGCCCTAGTGTTGATAGCGCTGTGATGACAGCCCCAGAACTTGCACAAGTTTTGAGGACCAAAACCTCCAATTGGAGCGTCGCATTCGTTTATGCGATGTTTCTCGGTGGCGGTGAGTTAATTCCAGTTTTCGAGTCCTTTCTCGTACTTCTTGTTATATCTGTCCATTTTGCTCACTCAATAGCGTGGTGTCTACGTTGGTGATATATGTGGAGGAAAGACCGCAAATGTGTAAGGAGGACAGTCCGTCGTCGTACGGCCTTTGGTTGGTCAATGGTCCATAGTCCCATGGAAACATGGCTACTGGGATGCTACCGGAGTGCGGGACACTGCATAAAGAGCCCCAGAGCTGAAGGTGCAGACCGTCTTGTACCGGACGCTCGGCCGTCGCTGATCCGGGTTTTCTCGACAAGTCAAGCTTTCTGGCTTCTCGCTCAATCTCGGGTGACATGTCTTGGTTTCTGGTGGAAATAAGGTCAGCGGAAGCTAACCAGGCTTTTGTGGTCGTTCTAGTGCAACGTGGATGCAATTTTTGGAAACATTCTGGTTTGTGAAAGACTGGTTGACAAGGTGATATAGCACCGTTACGTTCCGCGGTCGACTTGAACGGATCTGGATCGTCAAAGATGGCGATACCGGTACCGAATGGTGGCATACCAGAGAGAATCACTGATGTCTGGGGCAACAAGACAAAATCAGTGGTGGAATGGAGCATGGAACAAAAAAAGGTATGTGATGGGCCTTCCAGTGTACCACAGGGCCACAGACCGGGTAAATGTGGCGGACTACGGCGTTGGTGATTGGGTCAGCAATCGAGTCTCACACAGTCCCAGACACGTTTGTATGGCCACGAGGGCTACTCCATGAGCCGGGGAAGGTTTTGGGGATTTGGAAGACTCGTCCAGGCCATCATCGCTTGGATTTGTATATAGGTGGCTGGCCGCTATCCAAGAACGTGGTCGTTTTCGGTGCCTCTCGTCTCGTTCAGCCGCTTTTGTGGCTTTCGGGTTTGCCGGTTAGGTAGGTGTTTCCATATCTTCGGCTTGTGAGACGGGCACGATGTTTGTCCCAGACGCCGGAGAGGAGGGGAAGTGCAGAATCTCGATCGGCGACCCCTTGAAGAAGAACTTACGTGACGGACACCAAACACCTGGTGGAAGTCAACGATGGCTTTGCGAACAGATGCCTTCGGTCAAGCATAGGTTTCCTTTTAGCTCACATCAATGCACATTAAGTAATATCAAGAGGCTCTCAAGTTCGCCAGTTCAGCCCCCAACCACATTCCGCCAAGTCTTGGGATTGGAAGGGATCTCAAAAAGTTCGGAACCACGAATGCGGTTGGGTGTAACGCCACGCCACCTATAAATAGGTCGACTACCTGGCCTGCTGCATGGTACCAGACTGGAACCCTGGAAAGGGCACTAATGCGTGCACTACATTGCATATGTAACTGTCTTTTAGCGGACAACAAAGCTCGGTCAGGAACACTGATACCGTGACTCCGGGACCTGTCCAGCTGGTGATAGTAAGCAAGCTGCGGTTGGGATTGAGGTTGGGAAAGCTGGGATTGGGAAGCTTCAGGGGCGAGAGGAAAGAGAGGGGAGAGACGGGTTGAACGATATTGGAGGTGTTGGAAGTGAGTACGGATAAGAATGTACATGGGGGGAGTATTTGGGGAGGAGCTGGGAGGCGGCTAAGCTCAGCTTCAAGGGAATCTGGATATGGATCCCGTCATGTTACCTTTTTGTTCGGAGTCCGGTCCGATGTGCTCCTTTTTTCATGGAGGCCAATGAGGTTTCCGTTGGGAATTGGGTGTGGATTCTTCTTGTTCATGTCAAGGTGACTGTTGGACTGTATCACTCAAACGAACAACGGGGAGCTCGGGGAGGAATGGGAGGAAGGGGAGGAATGAGAGGAAGGGGAGGAAGGGGAGGAAGGGGAGGAAGGGGAGGAAGGGGAGGGGAGGAAGGGGAGGAAGGGGAGCCAAGGCAGCTTACAGCGTGCACTAACAGAGGGGACCTCGATCGCATGCAACTCCCATCGCATTCCTCATTTTGGGTCATCAGCATCATCTTGAGACGGCCCGTACAATCTTCAAAATCCACATTGTATGAAGGAAAGTAATGACATGTCGCAGAACCGGCTGCTTTGTTGGTGAAAGCCAGGAGTGTCGGTCACCGTCTCAAGTAGACGTGATGCGAGCCCTCGAGCACTGGCAGTTGCAGTTGCAGTGGACCGTGCTCGCAGTAGGATTGTCAAATGACAACTGTCCTCGTAGCATCGCCCATCGCTACTATAAGGCTGCTTTAAGAATGTCTCATTGAACATATGTACAGCTGTGAAACTCATACAGTTTTCATTTTGGCGAAAACTTTAATACGGTGCTCAAAGTGCCCATTTCCTGCCATGAGTTGAAGTGGTAAGAAGGCCCCTAGCGCTATCGGATTGTTAGGGTATCACGGGTGCAATCAACTCATATCGCCGACGACCAACAATCTGGGAGGAGATGAGCCACTACTGTTCAAGATGGCGGTTCCAAAACATCATCCGCTCTTCATGCCGGCAGCCTCTGCTTGTCTATTTCCTCGCCATGTTGCGAGTTCGCCGCCAAATCCTTGTCTGCCAGATGACAGATGCTCGATGCCCCCGCGACTACGACGATAATCACAGCCTCATATTACACCCATCAAGACTCGAAGTATCCGAAAATGGAAATTGAGAGCAGTTTAGATGTTCAATTCCTAGACCATGGTCCCTGTTTGGTTGGCATCAAGAACTACATGCGGTACCTCGAGCATATTCGGAACGAGGCCATCAAATCATCGCTCATGAGCATCACAAACGGAAAAGTTTGACGAAAGCTTTTACATTTGTCTACCTCAAGGGATACTGTATCACTAGCTCACATACCAGAAACAGCGCCCCTATTTGCAAGACAACACATGGGTCTGGTAAGTGACCCGACAGCAGACGAAGCTGTACGAGGTAAAAGCCTCCGTCTTTTTTTCCCTCTTCACTAATCTTCTGTTGTTCTGTGTATCCCTCATTTTTCCTCCCGTTCGTTGCTTCGATCCTCGTCCATTGACACTTTTTCTCTTCCCGTTCCCCCTCAACGCTCTGAGAAAAGGAAACCTGATTGCAAAGACTCCGTCACGTTTCTCAAGTGTTTGCCGTTTCTTTTTCCGTTATTCCTCGTCCTTTTTTGACAATCGGTTCCTTCTTCACACATTTTCACCCTTCCACCTACCCCTTCCTATCACACACTTTCCATGTGTGTTGTTGTCTAACTCACGTCCGTCTAATACCCCCTATCATCAGGATACTCCGTATCCCCACTCCCCTGCTTCAAACACCACACCCGTCCCAACCCATCCGGCTTATCCTCCCGACAGCCAGAGTCCATGGCATCCGGTCTCTTCTTGAAGTAATGCCAAAACTTCTTGTCCTTCTCACTCGCATCCGCCTTCTCCTCCCAGGGGTACGCCGTCTCCCCGCCTCCAGGCGCAAGACACCACACATGGCCCTCGTTATCGGGACTATTCTCCCTGCACCCGGCATCCATCGCGTCCGGTCTCTTCTTGAAGTAATGCCAGAACTTCTTGCTGTGCTCCTCCGCCACCTTCTTCGCCCGCGCCGCTTCCTCGGTCTCCTTCTTCATCGCCTCCCGCCGTCCCTTGTACGGGTTGAACGGCGAGTTCTGGTCCGACACGTAGTACAGGTCCGGAGGCGTCTTGAACTCCCACCAGTCGTATTTGGCGTCCATTATCTTGGGCTTGGCTTCTTCGAGCGTCAGGTGGAGCTCGTTGATGCCTGGCATCACCATCTCTTCGCGGTGCGGCCCGTTGTAGTCGGGGGCGACGTCGCGGGGGTTGTGGACGGGGTGGACGAGGTGGCGGAAGCGGGAGGGGATGATGACGGCGGTGTCGTCGTGAGAAGGAGAAGATGATGGGGGGGCAACGGGAGTGTTACCAATGGTGAGAGTTGAAGTTGCCGTGGCAGTTTCAGTTGCGATTATATCTGAGACAGTCACAATGGCAGTGACAGTGGCATCGGCAGTGTGGGCGGTGTCGTCGTTAGAAGAAGAAGATGGGGGAGCAACAGGTGTGGGAGTAACGGTGACAGTTACAGTTGCAGTCGCGATTGTGTTTGAGACAATCAAAGTGACAGTGGCATCGTCGGCGTCAGCGTCGATGTCAGCGTCGATGTCAGCGTCAGTGGCAGTGGCAGAGTCGGGAGAAGAAGGGGTGGTGGTCTTCAAGCTAGGATGGGGAGTCCACGGCTTGACGGTCTTGAGGGCAGACCTCTTGACTGCATCCTCTTTCTCCTTCTTTCCCTCTACCGTCTCCTTCCTCTCCGTCTCCTTCTCCTTTTTCTTCTTCTCCGTCTCCTTCTTCTCCCCATTCTTCTCCGTCTCCTTCTTCTCCCCCTTCTTCTCTTCATCCCCCTTCTTCTTCTCTTCATCCCCTTCTTCTTCTCTCCCTTCTTCTTCTCTCCCTTCTTCTTCTCTCCCTTCTTCTCTTCATCCCCCTTCTTCTTATGATCTCCATGGGCATGATGCTGATCAACACCGCCCCCTCCAATATGTCCCAGCCACGACAGCCACTTCAAAACCCTAATCATCGCTTGGTCCCACCACCAATTATGATGCAAAGCAGTGGCTTTGTGATCACCGTCACCGTCACCATCACCATCGCCATCAGCATGCTGAATCTCCTGCTCATGCTCCTGCTTCGGTTCAGTTTCAGAAACAGTGACAGAGACAGAGCCGTGGGAATGGCCCGGATGCCCGCCAGAGCTGGCGTTAGGAGTTCCATTGGCGTTATCCCCGTGGTGCCCGGGCTTGCCGCAATCGGCATCGTTGGCGCACTGTACACCCTCAACACCCTCGTCAGCACGAGGGATAAGACGAGTCCTAAAGTCGTTAAGGTTGGCATGCTCGACGCCATTGGCCCAGTCGAGGTGGGTGACGCCCACTGAGCCGGGAACGGCGGAACGACGATGGTGAAAACCTCCGTTGCCCTTCATGTTGATGGGCTTTGGTCTGCCGTTTTCTGTGTTCTGGTTCTTGGTGTCTTTGTTCTCGTCCTCCTTGTCATTTGGGTCCATGTGGTCCTTGCCCTCGCCATGGGCCCAGACAGGATCATGGCTATGGGGAGGAGCGTGAGGGTGCTTAGAGGTTGTTGTGGGGTTGGTGGCGGCAGGGTGGCTCGCGGCGGCAGGAGGAGCAGCGGCAGGAGTATGAGCAGCAGCGGTATGAGCAGCAGTATGAGCAGCAGTATGAGCAGCAGCTGGTGCTTGGTTGTGGTCCTCATGGCCCTCATGGCTCTCGTTTCCGTTCACAGCGTGAGTGGCGTGAGTTGGGACGGGAGGACGGACTTGGATCTGACCGTCGGGAATCTGGGATACGTGGTTGGGGTTGCCAGCAGCAGCTTGGCTCTGGTGGCCTCCCTTCTGGCTCTCCGCGTGAGAGATGGACTGAATAGGAGCAGCCTGCTTGTGGCCCTCATGACTTTGGCTCACAGGCTGCTTATGAGGAGGAGCAGCAGCGGCCGAGCCAGAAGCGCGTGCCGTTTCCTTGGCAGGAGGATGTCCCTGAGGGGTAGTCTCGGGACGAGCGGGACTTCCGGTAGCAACACTCGCAGCATGAGTAGGTTCCGCGCGACGAGCAAAACGAAGCTTTCCGCCGTAGGGGTAGATGGTTTCCCAATCGTTCTCTTCCATGTCGTTTTCTTCACGGCGGCGGTTGCGATACTTGTAGTGGTCGCCGAAGGGGTAGTATGTCTGTTTTGGTGTGTTGTTAGCGGCATATCCATTGACAACCCCAAATCAAAAGCAGAAGCCAAGAAAAAGGGAAATGGTATGTACTCACCCTTCCATCAGACATATGAATAGTTCCCACAATCTTATTCAACCCTTTCGTCCCGTAATCCACTCCCAGGTTCATCTCACCAGGCGTAGGAGTCTCATGAGGACCGGTGTATGGCGGTTGCGGCTTGGCCCAGTCACGCTTTGACTTTTCGTTCTCGTCGTGCTCCTCGTCGTGCTTGTCATCGTGCTCCTCGTCGTGCTTGTCGTCGTGCTCCTCGTCGTGCTCCTCGTCGTGCTTGTCGTCATGCTCCTCGTCGTGCTTGTCGTCGTGCTCCTCGTCATGCTCCTCGTCATGCTCCTCGTCATGCTTGTCATCATGCTCGCCGTCATGCTTGTCGTCACCGTCCCTGTCATCATCCTCCTTATCCTCCTCGTCCTCCCAATGATGGAAGCCCTCACCCTTCTTCCCGAAACCCAAAACAAACTCTTCAATGGCTTTCACAAGCGGCGACTTTGCCTGACGCATAGCCTCAAGATCGGGACGGTGGTAGTGGAACTCCTTTTCCTCTTCCTTGTCCTTCTTGTCGTCACCGTCAGTCCTCTTCTCGCTCCCCTTCGACTTCTCCTCAGCCTTCTCCTCGGGGGTGCGGGGTTTGAGTTCGTGGTCTTGGTGTTGATTGTGGTTGGAGTCTTGGTCATGGTGGTCGTGGTTGTGATATTGCTCGTGGCCGACTTCTGATGAGGGGCCAGAAGGGCTACCGGGAGTAGTCTCAAAGGCGTGTTGGTTAGACTTGTCCTTGCGGTTGATAGCAGCACGCCGAGCAACCCTGCTCCTCAACACCTTGCTCTTCTCGGCATCATCGACATGGCCATCAACATCAATCCACGTCGGCACCGCCGTCCCGCTCAGTTGCGGAGAAACAATCCCGCCGGTGACATGATACACCGCAGCCGTCTCGGTAGGCTTCATGTCTCTCTTCTTGTCATCACCCACCAAAAGCCCAAGTGGGACCACATCTCGTAGCTCCTCCTCCAAGGTATCTCCAAGACCATCCAGTTGCGGCTGCGAGGTAGAGATGGAAGTAGGTGTAGCTGTAGCCGTAGCCGTAGCCGTAGGTCCAGAAGTCTCACCAGCCCCGACAGCACCAGCACCAGCACCACCAGCACCAGCAGCGCCAGCAGCGCCAGCAGCACGAGCAGCACGAGCAGCCAAAAGACTATCGTTGATAGCAGAATAAGTAACGAACGAAATCGAAAAAGCAATCAGAAACAGGAGAAAAATTCTTGCCAAGGAACCGGTCAGTGTGATGCAGCGGCGGGACGGTCTGCTGTGGGGATTCTTCTTGCTGGCCGCCTCCTCGTCCTCCCCCCTCGGGAGCGAACCAGCCCCCTGGCCTAGGCCCTGGGGGAGAGGGATGTCTGGGACTGGGTATTGGTATCGTCGAAAGGCCCAGGTTGTAGGAGGGCGGCGAATTGGGGAGGATTTGGGGGTTGGGGGTGTAGGGATGTTGGAGCAGGAGCTGGAGCAGGAGCTGGAGCAGGAGCTGGAGCAGGAGCTGGAGCAGGAGCTGGAGCAGGAGTCGGAGCTGCAGCAAGAGTTGGAGAAGGAGCAGGAGGTGAACGTGGACGTGGAGGGGTTGGGGTTGTAAGGTGGTGGTGATGGAGGGTTTTGATTTGGTTGCATTTCATGCAATTCGATATAGGCGTTGGGAGCCATGGTTGGTTCCCTTTGTGAGTTGTGATGATGATCGTCGATGGGCTTTGGTGTGATGGGAAGTGTGGTTGGTGATGGATGATGGATGATGGATGGAAGAAGGAAGGAGAGGATAAGGAACTCCAAATCTGGGAAGAGGAGGTACTTATATAAGACCCGAAGAGAAGAGCAGGAGGATTACAAAAGGACCCAGAAAGCGGGGGAGAGTGGCGGGCCTTTTCATCTTCTGCTTCTTCTGCTTCCTCGGATGTCTTTTCTTTTCCCTGCTGCTACCATGTACAGGGCACCAACTTGCACACTTGCTCATGCAATGGCAACGAGCGGGCATTTCTTGGGGAGGTTCCAGTGCAGATTTCCGGAATATCCTGGGGGAAGAAGACGTAGGCGTGAACGTGACTGATGCCCTTTGATGTAAGTTGTGCCATGGTACCTAGGAGATGCAGAGATGTGCGTGGTGTTCGTAAGCCTCAACTTGAAAATGACTGGTTCTATTGAGACATATGTGTCTGTCCATGGCGGGCTTTTTGTCAACGCAGGTACGTTCATGTCTGGGGTGTTCGTAAGCCTTGCTATTGACTGGTTTTGTGACTGGATTTCTCAACGCAGCAAGATATGCCCATGTCCGTGGTACTTGTATCCATGCTCGTAACTTGGTTTCTATGCGAGTGTATGTGAGATAGGCAAGATCACAATGACTTTCACGGTGGCAACAGATACACTCAAGGTAGATGAACTGCCTTACATACGACAAGGCAACGCTGACTCCCTCAAGCTTTGGACTTGGAAGAGGCAATATATATTTTTCGCCTTGCTGGCGTGCATACATCCCGCACCTGCATCTGCATACCTGCATACCTACATGCCTGGTCTGCTACCGCAGCCTCAAAGAAAACCCAGTAACGTGGTCACTTCACATGGGCATGGAATATACAGCAACTGGGGCCACTGTGCTTTGAACTTGGAAGCAGCATCAGAGATAGCGCCTCGAGTTCAGTTGCAGGTTGCAAGTTGCACCTCGGCTCAACATCCTCGACAACCTCGAGTTGAGTTGGGTTGAATTGAGTCAAGTCGAGCTGCGTGAGTTGGCTTATCTTCGAAGCTGCTTGAGCGGTTGAGCCTTGAACAGTTGAACGAGGTAGAACCACCTGGCAGCTTGGCATGCCTTGTTTCTCTC